GAAAATCACCAACAGTTTCGCTGAATAATATACTTGACATGATCATGATGAAGTGTTACCAAATTACTTAAAATTACACGAGACAGATTTTGTCTATCTTAAAATAGTAAGTACTATTTATTAGAAATTGAATGTTTTTGTACTATTAAATACAAATATACTTATATATACACATTCGTATACATGATCTTATTATGACGTCGGCCATAACTTCCATCGACAGATATAACTTATTGGGTAAGTTTAAAGACTTGAAGAATGGTACATGGAATCGGGATGTAATCATAATAGAATATCAAGGTTTAAGTATTAGCAACAGACACATTCTATGTATCCTTAATCCTTCATTAATAAGATTAAGAATTAAGATTTAAACCAAAATGTGCAAATAGCTGTTTATATCGTTTATATCACTGGGAGGCATTTTAAATATTGTGAATGTAATTAAATTAATCTCCTATTGGTGATTAAGGTGATTAATTTTATCATGTATGGGATTGGGATAATGTATACCTAACTTGCTCTTTTTATCTCTATCCCATACTTGGTTAAGCATGACTTGATTTCACTCTGCTAATCTCTAATCTAAACAATAGTATCCTGCTAAGCCTTTCATGTCTCTCTTTGCTTAGAGCTTAATTGAAAGTGTGAAAAAATTAAGGTGGATACTTTTTCAACGAATTCAAAGTTTGTTTTCACTTAGTGGAAAGACATGTAACAGAAGTTATTAAACTTATTTATGGCATACTTGAACAACATGCCTTGGAGGATTAGTTAGTTATGTATAGAATCACTGGTATTCATAGTTACCGTAATACTAATCTAGAGGGAATTTATGATACCAAAAGTTTGGCAGTTATAGAATTGTTTTTTCAGTTTCAACTTTATTTCCACCTCGTCAACCAGAGTGTAATGTGCCTAGGAAGATGCTTTTTCTTTTAAAAATAGAACTTCTCTACATAGTCAGTGTCTGGTTGTCCGAAGCCTTGTTTGAAGGGAAGAAAACCACTCATAGAAATATTAGCACACTCAAAAAGAGAAACGATTTGGATGGAGTGTGTGATAGGAATTTAAAGAAATAAGGGACCATGCAAAAATTACCATCTCAGAATTTATTTACTATGAGTTATTGAGTCAAAAAGGGAAAAATAGAAACAGTTTGAATAGAGTGTGTGATAAGAATTGAAAAAAAAATAGGGTATGTAAAAATGACCATCTCAAAATTTATTTACTATGAGTTATTGAAGTTATTTTAACATGTAAGCATGCACAATGAAGGAAAAAGGCCAAATTAATGGTTGTATGTTGCAAAAGGGTAGTCTAGTGTTACAAAATCCTTTATATAAGTGTTATTAGTAGAATTACTGTGGTATGCTTAATTTAATCTCATCCTCTCTAATTTCCTGTATTAGTTGCTTTGCTACTTATCAAGTTACTTAACTTGATATGGTAATAGTAAATTCAAATCAAATTTTTTTGTGTGTTTTGTCATCAGATTTGTATTCTTTCCGCGCTCAAATAATTCTACATATTATATGAATATAACACGGAGTTAAAATTCCTCAAAATTCAGAAAAAAACTTTGAAGCTGAGGATATTCAAAATTCATGTGTTTTTGAAATTTATATTAAAGTTACTGTACCTTTTTTGGTAACAAATTTAGCTTCCAAAGGTAAAACTTTAACTTTATAATGATTTTATGGCTGAATAAAAATCCATTCAAAATATTGAAATCATAAAATCTAATAGGAATAATTTTTTGATAAAAAAAGTTTATATATTTTTTTAAAATCGATTTTATTACCGTAATAATCATATCATTTATCCTTTATTTTCTAACTCAATCTTCTATAATCCCCATGTTACATTCATCTTGGTATTTAAATAACAACTGGCAGTTAATTGACCACATACAGTTCTATAATTCATTATCCTGAAAACTAGTTACATAATACATATTTAAAATGTTTATTATTTTGTAATAATAGGATTAAGTAGGATTATGTAGCATATTGTGTGGGCTTTGCCATTTTCTAGTTTTTTGTTCCAATGTTGATTTGTTATTGTAGAGCGGTTTTAAACCTCTTAAATGAAGATTATATTTGATGATTATTGTGTAATTATAATATAGTGGCAACTGACAAAGTATACTTGAAAATTATTTTCTATTTACGGTACATTCGTGGTAGCTTGCGCATATTTTTTAATTAATTTCAGGCTAAAATTTTTTTTTTCATCTTTTGGAGAGGGATTGTGAACTTGACTGAAAATTCTATTTCTCATAAAATGAGATTAAAAAAATTTTTGTGATTCATTTTAAATTGGAAATTTTTTTACGATTTATATCATGGTTATCCCCAGTTTAAAATTGGTCATACTCGGTTCAATATAAATTAACAGTTTTAGTATGGCAATGGGGCTTTTACAATCAGTTTGTGCCGCAAACGTTAGTCTCAAGGGTGATGATGCATGCATTCCTAATCTGTGGGAAGTTATCACGGAATCAGTGACGTAATTTCTGTATGTATAATACAATAATCTCTTGATAATATTTATATATACATGATTAGGTTCGGCCACAGATGAATTTCGCTACTGCATAGTAATAAGCTTGATCTAATCCCATTGAGTGTTATATAATTGTATTGAAATTAAACATCTTCACAGGTAGAGTTATGGTAAAATGCTTAAGAAATACAAAATTTGCTGTGTTGTGATAAACAAAGAGTGACAGTCTCAGTAGATGACTCGAGTCTGCGATGCTCGTTTGTTAGTATAAAATTTATACCTGAATATAATTGATTTATTGTTTGTGATGAGATTTTGATGGAACTAATATTTGTGGTTTAATAATACGGTATGTAACAAATTTTCTAGTAAATATATTTTTTTTCCTTTTGTGAAGCTTTTTATAATTATATTTCACTTCAAGATTTTTTTTTAAAAATCAGATGAATTTTGTTGTTTTCAGGACATTTTGTGTTTATCGTCTCGTCAAGTCTATTATTTCGTCTGGTAGAAATTTTCCCAAGGAATAGTGTTTCATTTTCGTGTAGATTTCCTGTAGTGTATACCAGTAGACTGAATCTTATTTTCCCGTTTTTTTCTCTCTCAATTTAGTAACCTTTAGTTTACCCTTTATTTTGGTACCATCTAAGTCTATTTACGGTTACTCGCTTTCTGCTTGTGGCCTTAAGGGAAGCTCAAATACCACAAAGCCGCGATCATATTATTAATCCCGGATGTCCATACTTATAATTATCAGAATTTCTCAGCAGGCTTCGCTTTTGCTACAGAAATTATAGCCCTGATTAGGCGACGTGTAGGAATTTAAGAAATAGCAATAACAAATAATATTACACTATAGACATTGGTGTAATATGTGAATCTGAAAATAAATTTTATTTTTTCTGAAAATTTATCTATTTACAATTTAGATACATATTATACTTAGCAGGAATTTTGTTATTTTGGGAAAAAATTAATTAAAACAAAAGTAAAACTACTATATATAAAAAAGATTGCTAATTTTTAATTTTCTCGTCTGAATGCAAAATTTTATAATATTGGATGTTGAATTATATGAACCGAATTAGACATGTAGTAAATCATGTTTTCGGTTCAAAATTACGGTAAGTGCTCAAATGGAGCAAAATTATAAATATGAATTATATTAACCAAAGTTATGAAATATCTTTCAACTTTGTAGCTTTGATCTTATTTATATTTATAATTATATTTATAATCATTATAATATTTATAATGGAGATATTGCGGGCGTAAATTATGTACCCGTAGTAGAAAAAAGTGAAATAGAAAACTATGATTTGTGATATATTTTACGATATCGCCAACATGTATTAATTTATCTGTAACATCATCTGAACATGGAAATATCCTGTTATATTATTTTTGAATCATGTTATTCTATGTTACCTTTTTGCTTCATACGCAAAATGATATGCAACACTTTATAGTTTTTGAGAGATTGGAAACACATACGATATTCTTTTTAAAAAAAGTATTTCTCTTTTTGATCCAATATTCAAGCTGATTTAATTTTTATTTTATTAGCAAGATATTGAATAGCCTCGGTTAGTGTTTACTTTTAAATGCATGTTTAATTTTGGCGTGAAATCTGTCTGTACATTACAAGTACACCATGTAATGGGTGTGTTTCCGTGTTGTTAGCATACATACACCAATATAAAGCTTCCACTAATAGTCAGAAGGTCAGATAAAGTAAGCTGTGAGATGTTTCTGAATGCAGCAGTGTTAGAGACTTTTAAAATTATACGTTTCTTATAGATAACAGTATGATAACTTGTATAATAATTTCGTAACATGATGAATAATGGGTTCTCCCGATCCCGAAGTATGTGAACCTTGAAGGCAGACACCGGAACGTAGTATGTGTACCAGGTTAGGGTTAGGTCATAATTTTATTCCAATTTTCCTTATTTTAGTTCTATTATGAGTTCGAGGATTAGCCAAGTGACTCCTGTAGTCTTTGTACCTGAAATTATGGCCTAACCCTCCCCTGGTTCCGGTGTCCACCATCTTGGTTCACATACTTCGTGAGCACCGAATAATGCATGTGATTTAAGCAGATTTTTTTGCTTTTCAGAAATCTGACTTTGGTCAAACAGAATGGTACAGAAATACATTTGTGTTAGTGAGCAACAACTATTGCATAGTAGCCTATATTTTATTACAACTTGAGGGAGGTAGGGGGCATGGGATTCGAACTCCGGTGCAATCTACAATGTCGACCCAGTTAAGTCTTACCGAAGTCTTACAACTTTGTCCCGTTTTAGATAGTTCTTGTAGATAAGAATATAGTTTCTACACAGTTGCATATTCATTTCCTTGATAAAATGTTTAATACCTTTGCCTATTTTTTCAGTAGTGCTGACACATAATACTTTCATTGTTCAATTTACTATTACAAGCCCTAACCTAAACTGTGCCCCTTTCTTTTATTGTGTGCATCACTTTAGATTTGGTATTCAATGTTCTATGGACACTGAAACTGGTAATTGTATAGAGTTTCCACGATCACCGAGAATCATACTCAAGATGGTGGAGGCTTTGTTTAATACGCAGGAAGATAAATCTGTCTCCGGATCTGAAGCGTCACAGAATAATTTGATTCATACTGATGAAAATAGCGAAATAATCACAACTGCGGACAGTGGGATTGGTAAGTCGATATATTTTTTTCAAGCATTTATTAAAATTTTATTTAATATTTTTTCTCATAAATTGGACTGTGCATGCTATACCAATGTGGGTGCATTTGTTTTACAAGTAAGCAAATGTAGTACATAAGACAAATATGCTATGTTGACATTAGCTTTGGGTTAAGATGCACTGGCAGGGATGGCCAAAACCGAATAATTTTCCTATTCCAAATACATTCTGGAATTATATTTTTAAATATGAATATTGAATATGTTTTAAATTGAACCGTCTTCAACACAGAAATTGGCAGAAATCATGTGCATTTGAAAAAACTGAATTTATTTTCGACAATTTTTTGTATATAAAAAAAAAGTTGGACTTGAACTATGTCTGCATGTCGTCCCGTGTTAAATCTTGTGCACACCAATGCCACTATCTCACTTAAGGAGCCATGAATTTGACAAGTAATGCCGAACCTGAAAGATTCCAAGCTTTCGAAAATATATCAAGCTTCCCACATACCAGTAGCTGACTGTACAGGCCTTTATTTGGAGTGAAAGGCACGTAAAACGTTACAGAATGTCTCAAATTTGTCATATTTGTCATCTCATGCCCCGTAGTTGCAAATTTGCATATATCAAATTCTGACTTGTTTCGATTTGTAAGATACATGTGACATTGTTTAATTTGAGTCATTGAGGGATATTGATTCATTTTTTTCCATTTCAGCATTATTGCTAATACCCGAATTGTATCATCTAAATATCAATCAATCATATGTTAATCATTGTTCTCATTAACGTTTTCAATTCTAATGTCATGGTATTCAACTTCACTGAATTTTGTAATTTGAATAATTTGTATGTTGATCACTTAGCATGTCCCATTTTTCACAGTAGTATACTAATGTGATTCCGCTAATGATGAAACAAGGTAACAATTTGCTGATCATAAATTTCAAACGTCCTATTTTGTCATCCATCTGTTGGAATACGCAGTGTTATGGTAGAAGTCCCTAACTTCAAGTCAAATCGTGGGTCACCAAGGTCTTAAGTCCAAAAGCGAATCACTCTCATTGGTGGCTACTTGAATACGAGTCCGAGTCATTATATTTAGATGAGTCACTTTGAGTCTTTGATAAATGGGGACTTGAGGTGAGTCTCTAAGCATCTCAATACCGGAAGACGACACGAAAATTTTGCCACAAATTGATAATTCTTTCATCAGACGTCAGATTTTAGTAATTTTACCGTAATTATCTAATATACAGAAATTTTACGATAAATGTTGTAAAAACAATAAATGTAAATTGTAAACATAGCAGGTACAGGTCAAACTGAATCTTGAAGCAAGCACTTTTCTGATTACCTTGAGTTTCACGTTCAGTTTTACTTATTTTTTTCAGCTAATTAGTAGGTTTTACTGCAATTATTTATCCTATTTGTTTTCATAAATATCAATTTTAAAAGGCTAGAACTAGACATCGACAACGAATACGCTTGCATTTTAATTAAAAATCCAATTCCTTCATCTCCGATAAAATATAACCAATGAGAATTCGAATCAAAAAGACTTAACAAATGGTCAACATGTCATGATTGTGTTTCCTGTCTTTCAGTCGATTTATCCAATGGATTTTAAATAATCACTACACGATTTAATTGCTCGCTCCTCATATTGCTCAATTTCCTGCCATCTTTTGTTACTGACGATGAGCGTTTCATCATGTTGCATGTCCTGGTTTTGTTTTAGTGTTATGATAAACACAAACCGAATTCAGTTAGAGGGATTTATCAGTATTTGTATAGCATTTTCGGTAGCACCGTTGTCGTATTTTTTGAGTGGTATTTTATTTATGCAGGCAGTATTATTTGTTAGATGAGTATCTAATTTAGGTGTGAAATTATGTTTATTAGTTACATTTGAAATTCATAAGTGTTAAATATATTACAAGATTTTATTGGTATTAGAAAGGTATTAACAAAAGATTATTTAATAGAATGTGGGGTATCAACAGGTCTGCCATAATGACATGCATCCTGCGATTTGGAAAAAATTGCAATGTATTGATAAATGGTGTTAAAATGTTGAAGCATTGTCGATAATAAACTTATAACATGGTGAAGATAGTGGTATTATTTTCATGCCACACCATTTTGCTAAGAATGATGTATTGTATTTGGTACATATTCTTAGAAAAATTAGAAAAATCGATGGAAGGCTAGCAGCAGAAATAAATTTAAATTGATTGAGATAACCAGAGCTAAACGAAATCTCATATTTTTAGCTCAAAATTGTATTTATGAATCATACAGGATGATCCGAAAAATAGAACCCAGGTCCTTGGGAAATATATTCCAGAGAAAACATAACTTTTATGCAAATCCTCCCAGGTTGAAACTTTAGGGTACAATCATTTATTAGCATAAATTCTATTGTTCAAGTGTTCGAAAAAGTTTCTTCATTTTCGTAGAAGTAATTGCAAAATTTAAATGGATCACCCTGTACGTAAATATTTAGAACTATTTTATTTTTACATTTTTTTGCATTTGTGCTTTGTATAGTAGTATCCTAGCTGAGAAATAAGTTTTTATAATCTTAACAGATGGGATTAATGGTCCAGCAGTGAGATCACAGAATCCAATTCAACAGTTTCTCGGTAAATCAAAGAAAAAGGAGGTGAGTCATTATTTACATGTTCCGTTCTCTAAACTGTGAGAATATTATGTTAGTATTTCTTAAAATTGTGGAAATTATATAGATGAGGCCAGTTTTATCTTGGAGAATTTTTGTTAATGAATACTGTAATATCATCCAAGACAAGACCACTGTCGCTTATTTCTTGCTTAAGCACGGCTACATTATACACGAAGAATAAAAATGACAGAACCCAAGTCATTTGGAACGTATTCTAGAGGAATAATAACTTTTGTACAAAGCGTGCTAGTTTATTAAAACTTTTGGGGGCAATCAAACACAAATAGGAATTCGAGAGTTAAATAAATTTCTCCATTTTTGTACTAGCAATCAAGAAATTTATGGTTTCTGGTTTTCGGTCACCCCCTATATTGGTGCTACTCAGACTTTCTGAACCTATAAATATGTAATGTGACTTTAAATTTGTGGGGAGAAAATGTAATAATTTTGTTACAAAATGAGAAATTATATCAATATTTGTAGTATTCGTTTGGTTTCTTTACATTTGGGTTGTGTTATTTTTCAGACTTCGAGCAAGTTGAGCCAGCAGAATCTCAAAAAACATGATATGAAAAGCAGTAACGGTGCTACACCACAAGTCGATAGATACATGGCGGCTACTGCTGGTTTACCACCGCCAATGAATAAGCTGGGAATCGGGAAATATAAAATTGGTGGTAAGATCATTTTCTGCCATTAATATTTAAAAAAATTTTAATTTTAAATTGAAATTTGCTATGAAAATGATTTACAAATTTATACACGGCCAAGTGTGGGTTAATGATGGAACATGCCACAGAAAAAGGATCCATGTAGAGCCGGTTATCAGCTGCTTCTCGGTGCATTTAGTATTTGGACTGTTTTATGTGAGTGCCTAAAACCATAAGAAGGATAAGTAAAATCAATGGCATTTTTGAGTAATACAATTGAAAATGAGTCTTGATTGTTTTTCTGTTGCCTTCTGGCAAATAGTGTGAATGGGTCATATAGCCTACTGCTGTTGTATGTACAATTGTACTGGCATTGCCCTGTTCCTATTGAACCCAAAGAATTTCATTTCACAGGAATGCACCTTCCTAAAGTATCTTTTCTGGTGCAATGGTGATGTACTGACTGTTATTGCTTGGGCTACAAATTTAATACTGCTAGTTGGCAGTATTGAGTAGCTTATTTTTACTTTACGCATTCGCAAATCAACTTCATTTCCAAAAATTCTCAAAGTTGCATTGAATTTCCCATAATTAAAACGTCATTAACTATTCATGGGAGTTTCTCCAACATAAATGAAAGCATACTTCAATAGAAGAATCCACATTACTTCGGCCATACATATTCCATTGATAAATCAATTCAGAATTATATTTTATTAACTGATCGAACTTGTTCTTGGTATAAAACGGGAACAATTTTTGTAATGATTGACTTAAGAAAGCAATCCCCTTCATTCTTTATTCATTAGTTTATAATCTTTCGCACGTTTCCTTGCCACGAGTGATTTTTACCTGTGATTGTACCTTGCATAATGTCACAACGTTAGGTTTCTTGTGTCGCAGGTAGTCGATGTCGTCATGATAGTTATTTTAGTTTTCTTTCTTCAAAATGAGATTCAAAATAAGTTTATTGTGTGTAGAAATATTACTAATATTAGAAGCTTTGCATATTGAGAGAAATTTTAGGAAGTTCCGATTTAAATTAGGTTTAATTGGGATAAGGGTAATGATGCCAAAATGAACCTAAATTGAATGAAACAAATTTTATATGGCTGTAGTGGTTTTTAAAAGTTTGTAATTTTTTTTGTGAAATTCATTATCATGTTGTAAAATAGACTCAGTTTTTTTGCTTAGATAAATTTTTTTTTATAGAAATTCTAGAATACTACATTATTTGAATAAGGCGAATATTTTGAAGGAAGTCGATAATTTTTTTTTAAATATTAAAAATGGAGAATTTTGGACAACTAAATTGATTGAATAAGGGCTTGCTTACCTATGTAGCTATGTCTATCAATTTTTAATCAATCAGTGGGTTATGTTACAAAAATTGATTGAAAATTGGGTAATTTTGTGCGTTTTGTGTATCTAAATGTATTCAGTCTATACTCTATTTCTATCTAAGTAACAAGTGTAGGTAGGGTCAAAAAAAGATTTTTAAAGCGAATTACCATCATTCAAATTAAAAATGATTTGTTTCATTGTGCTTTTTTTTTTAGCTTTTAGTAAATTTTTAAATCTTCAATTATTATAGCTGGTACTCTTCCGTTGCAAAGAAGTTCGATATCAGCAGGAAGTGGGAGCCACCTTGGTTCTCAAACACACGAAGTGAGACAAAGTAAAAGAGGAAGAAAGGTAACTTTATATTTGATTTATCATTCTAATCGTTTCTCATGAAATTTTTAACAATTTTTATTCAAAAGTAATAACGAAAAAAACACTCCTGAAAACGGTTTTAGGCTTTTTTCACCAAAAAATTTCAATAGAAATATAAAGTAGTTCAAAAATCAAAATTAATTTTTCAAATTTTCTAAAATCAGTTTTTTCGAGTTTCAGCCTTTTGGTTTACTAATTTACATTTGTATAACTTAAGTCTGACCAAAAATTTTTTATTTTTAATTATAAGACCTAACTATTAGTTAGTTTAATAACGATTAGGAATTGATCGATTTTTGTTCATGATATCATTTTTACTGACACATGTCATGTACTGTTTATCGAAACCTAAGCATTACCAGCTGGCAAATAAATTTGAAGCCTATTGTTGAACCACCATTTTGAAATTATCATACATTTTTAATATTTTTTTTTTAATTTGTCAAGATATCACAAGTGCTGACTCATATTTTTTATCTCATATTTCATACTGGCACCGTTGGAATGTTTTAGGTCTTTTAATATTTTCGATATTTTCATAAATATTGAAATGTCCATATTTCTATAATATACATCCTATACGTTATACGGGTACACAATTCCAAAAATACATTACGAAATCGAAGGACAAATTTTTAAATTACAAAGAGACTTTATAAACACAGTAGGTTTATACTTACATAGGCTACCTAACTCTTGTTCTATTAAATAGTATAAGATAGTTTATTTTGAATTTTGCCATGGTACAAGAATAATACAATACACAAAACAAGCACACGGGACGTAAATTTAAGAATGTTCCTAAAACTACAAACAAGACATGAATGTACATCGCCAAACTCACTCTGTTAAATAGAATAAAAGTGGAAAACACGATTACATGTTCACTAATTGAGGCTTTAAGATTGTGATAATGCATTCATATAAAAAAAACAACATAATAAGATACTTTCTATCCGAGCTTTGTGATAATAGATACCGTGACATACATGCAGGTGCAATAATAAGGTAATTGGTAGTTATAATAGACTATGAAAGTCAACAACAAAATATATTTTGTCGAGGTGTTGTATTCATGTTGTTGGTATTTGGACATTGACGTAAAAGATTCTAAATTTGATATTCTTGAAATACAAATGTGAGAATTTTTCTATTTATGTCATGTATACAATGAAAACATAAACCGGTATATACTTCTGTATCACGGTTCGACTTTAATTAATTAGCGAGAGCTTCATGTGAAGTAGTAAGACATTGAAAGAAATTTGGTTTTAACGGATTTAGGGCTTAGACTTAGAAATGTTAAAGTTTAAAAACGTAGATACTGGTGGATTGTTTATTGGTTCGATTTTCTTTATGCAAACTCATAATTTGGAATTCTGTTATAAAATGATATTTCTGAGCGAATTGAGTAAAATATCAGTTTGGAATAAGCAAAATTTCCAATTAGATATGTTCTTGCTTCCTTTTTACCGGTACAGCTGACGAATAGATATTCAGACTTAATGAATACATTGTCAAATTGATATATTTGTGTTAGTTTCATTGCATTATATAAATGGTTTTTATTTTTGGTAATATCGTCATTACTTGACTTAAATACCGTACGTTATACTAAACGAGAGTCATTGCCGATGTTCCGTTGCTCATTTCTCTGTATGAGTACTTCCATCTTTGCAATGACATTATACGTCGTTTTTCCCTTCACGCAAATCATCGATGATGCACAGCATACTTTGTGGTATGCGCTGAGCTAAAAGGAAATGACGGCACGATATCCTCAAAATTGGTTACCTCGCTGAACGTGTGATCACTTTTATTTTGTTAGTTATTTATTTGCAACGCGTAGCAAGCAATTTGCTTTGTCACCTGTTTGTTTGCGAGTAAATATATGTGTTATAATATATCGCGGAAGTTGTTTGCTGTACCAGCGTCCAATAATACAGATCGTGTATATTTGTCAAATGATATGTTTTTTGCATATCGGGCCACTGCTGTATACCTGACTTTAGTGAAACACCAGAAAGCTTGTATTTTATAACCAGGGACTATCCTGGATAAATTTTCTGAATATCAAGGAATTATTCTAGATGAAATTTCGAATAAGTTTCTGAATATCGAATATATACGGCTATGCTAAATAAACTACCGTAGGTTGTGTTCATCAATGAAATTTTGCACCAATTAGAATGTAATCGTAAACATTTTCTTTTTGTTAAAAAGAATAAATTAAGATAGGTGCTATGTTATTTAGTTACTACAGTAATTAGAAGATAATAAAGGAGTCCGAAAATCAGATGGTAGCTACATAAAATAGCGTATTTTTAATTTGAAATGTTTTCAATTTTTTCTCAAATTAGGAGTTATATAGATTGAAATATATAGTGTTACAGTCATATCATCTTATAGTTTATAAACGAGTGATCTATATTTGAAGAGCATATCAAATGGGGAAAAAGGTAAATTATAAATAATATTATATAAATAAATAATTCCTTGCATTACAATGTAATCAGACTTACCTTAATAGGTAATTGATGTTGACAGGAAATCGTTAACAATATATTTATATATATATATATATATAACGAGAATGGCGAATTGGCTTGGCGGCATAGCGCATTGTGCTGAGTGTGAGGAATACTCTTGCCATCGTACCTCTGATTACCCTGCCTGGGTTCGCAGGTTTGGATCCAGTGATTATTATGGGGATAATTATTTGCAAGAGGATTGCTGGACTCCTCGTCACTGTAGGGTGGTTCACGTATCCGCTGGTCAATTATGGCTTCCTCCACCATCAAGCCCATGAGTTTAAACAAATAACTTGCTCAAAAATTCCATACATGACATGGACTGGTAACTGGATGAAATGCCAGAGTTCGCCAAATGATTAAGCCATCTTATTGGCTTCCTTCCCCCCAAGATCAATATGTGAATTGTATCCTATTTTAGGGTTCATGATAACATACAGGATATGTAGAGTAGACCGTTATATAAAACCTGATCTACCACAAGATAATATATGGATATAATTTATAATATAATTTTGGATGATTGGCCGTCATTGTCATTATCAAGTATGTTAGCAGGATTGAATTTTTAGTGCGATCAGAGTTATGCGCATATAAGTAATTTTTTTTTTAGTTTTAAACTCGGCATATACAGTATGTCAAATTCTCTACTTCATAATTATTTTCCGGATCATATTCACTTAATTGAACTGCTTCGAATTTCGAGTGAATAGCTAATTGCCGGTTTATAGTCCACCACCATGAGTTTATATACGGTAGTCTCTGTAGCTCTTGCGATTTCAGTGGTCGTAATAATTTTCCCCCAATGAGTCTTCCTTTTTTTCGAGGAGACTTTGCTTTGAGCAAATTCCCTCGTCCGGTAAAGTGAGTTATTTCCGATGTGAAATCATGACCTACCGTAATAAAAGCGATACAATTTGAAATATGACATTCATCATGGTCATGTTGCTCATTTGGTTCATATAAATTAAAATGAAATTGTATTTCGATGCGAACAAAAAATTTAGAATATTTAGCCATCATTAGTTAAGATTTTTAACATAGAAGATACATGATGAATATTTGACTTATTTAGCATCTGTGTGATAAATAATCTCAATATGTACATCATGTGAAACTGTATTAATAAGCATTCTTTCAGTACAAAATAAAGCAATAGGAAATAGCCCATAATAATCTTTGCACCCCTTTTCAGTTAAAGCCATGTTCATGTCGATTGTAATACAACTACTGGTAGTTTATTATATTGTGAAAAATAATAGGTTTTTTAAGCTTTACATAATGTACAATCCAACACAAATATCGATTTAGACATAATGAGTAAATTTGAAATATAGTAGCCAGGATTAGTAGCCTAATCTTAGTTTTTTTAATTGACTCTATTTAATGAAATCGGGCAAGAATTTTTTCAAATTTTATAATTTTTGTTATGTTTGAATTCTCGGTTCCAGTTACAAATTTGTACTCATTAATAACTTCCTGGCGTTATCATTAGCGTAATACGAGTTGATATTAAATAAGCAATATCCAATATACTTGGAATAATCAATCATTTAAACCATTTAACAGCGACCATGCAGTGGGTTAGTACTCTTATCGAGTCAAAATACTCTGGGATGGACTGTTTACTAAGAACCGCTTCTCAACAATCAATGACTAAATAAAAAAATTTTGACCAATATACGATCTTTCAGTAAAAAAATTAACGTCTACCGTATTGTCTATGTTTCAGCCGTGTCGTAATTGTGCACGTTTTATTTCGCGGCGCTTCACCTTCTACTAGCTATAAATAGATTTTTTAAATTGATCTAACTTGGCTGGTTCCATTTTTCTTATTTTTCGTCTTCACTATTTTTACTTTTCGGTATATTACATTGTCGCTTTACTATCACGTTTCTTATGTATAAGATCATTCAAATCTTTCAGGGCAATAAAAGTGGAGACGGATTGTTTTTTCGGGTACCAAAACGTTCATCGAGCAGACAACTCAGATTAAACATGAAGAATGTAATGAGCAAGTCTTCAGAGGTGAGTTAATCTACTATGAATGGTTTAGATTTGTATCCATGGACCTAATAATCCTATTATTCTAAATGTAGTTTATTATTTTATAAATTATTTTAATATTATGAGTATTCTTAATATAATTAGTCTAATATAAAGTATATATTCTTAATATAATAGGTGTGACACAAAAACGGAACATAGCAAGTCATTCAAAACATATCGCTGGATGAAAACAGAAAGGGCCATTTCTCAAATTTCACCTTTTTCAATATTTTGGGGATATTTTGAGCCATGCTCTACAATATTGGTGGTCTTGAAATCCTGAATTTCTTAATACTAAAAATATTAGCTGGACTCAGGACTATAATATTTCGTAGAAGTTAAGAACACTATAAGTTCCATTATGATGGACAGGGACATCAGAAATAAAATGTCTGAAACTTACATCCCTAAGAATTTGTTCAGTGCAACTTAGGCCTAAGTCACCTTGTTTTACATTTCAGAAGTTGTTGAAAACAGAATGGGCCAAAGTCCTTTATGGGGTAAAAAAACAGAAAGGAAGTTCCAAAAAATATTGATTACTAAGATATTCTCACCCACATTGAAATAACCAGAGCTCATGTCTTTACTAAGTGTTAATAATATCTAGAAATTCAGAAATAATGAAATTCAAAATTGTTTTTTGCATTTTTCTCAAAACTTAAAATTGTGACTTAGGTCTGTTCTGTTCTCATCCGGCGATATTCTAGAAAGATTATAACCTTCATACAAGGCGTCTCAGATTACATTTGATCATACACAAACAGAAGTTCAAGTGTATTTTTCATTACGTAGAATTCATTATTTATAGCTTCTTTTTTGTTTACCCTGTATATCATGTAATTATGTTTCATGTATCATTAGATAAATTATTTTCAAAATTGACTACAGTATCTATTCTTGATGGTAATATTTTTATATTTAATCCCAAAATAGCTCCCAAAATAGCTAGGGGTTTATTTATCATATTGTGTTTGTTACAAATATTATTTGCATATTAAATGAATGTAAATTTAAAAAGAAAATAACCACTCTTTTTTTTAACAGAGCATTCCGCTTTCTGAAACTGGTGAGTGTTTTCTGCTGTTTTTTTGGATTAGTTGTCTGAACAATTTATTGTTAGTTTTCAATTGCCAATCGGCAATCTGTTTGTACTGCAATTCGAGAAAATGTTGAAATTTTGAAGAAATTTTATTAGAAATAAATACAAAAAATGAGTGCTTTATAACGCTGGTTTTTCCGATCAATGTATTTCCATAAATATTTAAAGCGATTTAAAAATCGAAAATATTTATTAGATTGAAGCCCTCAAATTGTTGCTTGCTTTTAAAAGAATAATTAGTATAATTCTTTTTTTTTCTTTTTTTTTAAAATTTACATTGAATTTCAAGGTAATCTGAGTGGGGCTTCTAGCATTGAAAGTCTCAACAGTAACGCTAGCTTGCCTAGTTGCTTCAATGGACTTGGGTCAGTGTTGCATAATACGGAAGGTGGAGGGAGAGTAGCTAACTGGGCAATTTCGTTCGATCGTATGTTAGATGACAAAATGGGATTGAAATATTTTACGGTGAGTTTTGTTATAGGTATGACACTAACTTATTATATCTTATTAATTAATCGTTTTTTTTTCAAATTTTATTTTATAGCAAAACAAGGATATATGCACAAAATTTTTCATGTAATCTGTAAATTTTGTGATATTTAATAATTTAGAAAACTTTTCCTGATCAGAATGAACGTGTGAGAAAAAATTGTCATGAGGACTTTCTATAGTAGTATTCTTCCAAATTTTTTTATAACAGATGGCTGCTTTTTAAACTGGATGTGAAATCCTTGGTATTTGTTTTTTATTTGATTAGTGTTTTTGCCCAACTTTACAGTTCTTTGGAATAAAACAGGAAATTGGAAATTATGCTTATATTTTACAGGAATTTCTGAGGAAAGAATTCTCTCAAGAGAACATTTTATTCTGGTTAGAGTGCGAAAAGTTACAGAAATTAGCACCAGATGACGAACACACTTTAAAAGAAGCTTCAGGGAACATTTATCATAGGTATTGATTAGTTTCGACACTTATGGTTCTCGTACTCAAGTTATATGTCTTTAGGAAGTCACGTTTTGATAAGATTTGACTCACTGCCCGAAATTATTATGGGGTCAGTTGCATTTGCATAACACTTTGAAATCAATTAGAGTATTTAATAATTAATATAAGTTACGAAAATATGGTAGTTTCCATATTGAATTATTGAAAAAAATATGATATCATCACTGTTATTATGCAGTAAATTGATTGAGATTTCTTCGTACATTACAAGCAGGATTATGTGCATGAAAAAAGACATTTTCGACTGAGTTTCAATAAATCATAATTTCCGTGCAAATAAAGTAAACTTTACTGGAAGTTCAGTAATTCATAATTCAGATCATATAAAGTTGTATTATTGAAGTCTCATCATGTATACGACCTTGATATTTTTATCTCAAATTTTCAAGGTCAAAACAATTCAATATATCTTTCTTATCAATTCTTGGCTTATATAACACAGGAGTTATCTCTATTACATTTACCTTACATGGGAAAATGTGTGGATTGTTACCATTACAAAATATTCTCACGACTCCCTTGTCTCGTCTTTTATATTTATTTTTTATTCTGTGGGTAGTTTGAATATAAATGGGGATTTTTGAATTCTTTTTAAATGAATATAGTTTTTAGTTTTCCTTGTAATGCATGATTGAAACCATCATTCATGGTTTCAATTCCCTAAAATTGTCTCGCGAACTTTTCGTTTGATCAAATTTGTGTATTTAATATATTTGTTATATTTCCATTCTGTTTTGATGTTTTTTTGATGAAATATTCCTCAGTCTACTTAGTTATGAAAAAGCCATTTATGATAGAATGCATTTTAAGCAAAATTAGAATTACTCCATAAAACGGTATTAATCGGAATTAAGCAGTTGGATGTATATTTTGTCAGATTGTTATGAATCTCAAACGTTTTAGGTTTTTGTCTCCGCAAGCCACTTCTCCAGTGAATATCGATAGCAAGGGACAAAGACTTTCAGAAGAAGCTATCTCGAAACCTCCTCATCCTAATATGTTTGATCAACAGCAAAATCAGGTTAGAATTGGGACGGTTATTTATTCTCAACGTTTATTTCTCAAATTTTTTTTGACGAGTTTTTTTGGTTCTGCAGCACGGCCACAAATATTATTAAGGGTTTCACGACAAAAGGCTGATTGTTGAAATTTAAAAAAAAAATTGAATTTGAAAATATTACAAAGAAATAGGTGCTCTTTATGCTGGTATCCATTAATAGTTTGAAGCCATAGTCACCAAAGTATTTCAATAATATTTGAAAATCAAAATTATATGTTTTCCCTTATTTTCTCAAAAGTGCTTTTTCAAGTGTCACAATTTGGCCCTCCTCGTGACATATATTATGACAAAATCATGATTACTTCCAAACACCATTAAATTCACTGAATTTTTCAAAATTCTTTCTCCGATTAAAAATTACCTTTTTATTTTTCTCCACAAATGGTAGATCTATGCTCCCAACCTGTATTATAGACTTTAAATCAAATTGGAACGTAATTTGGTATTACTTTGTGAAATTATTTATCCATAGATTTCATCACCTACAGTGCCAAAGTCGAATTAAATATCTTGTTAAATCTATTTTTTCACTCTGTCACATGATAACAATTCTTTTCTCTCTTATTCAGATCTATAAATTGATGAAACTTGATAGTTACAGCAGGTTTTTGAAGTCATCTCTTTATAGACAATGTATCATGTGTGATATTGAAGGATTGCCTCTTCCTCTAGAACCAGAAGCTAAGGAGACTTCGGTAAGAGACTAAATTAGAAATTTGTATTTCATCAAAGCGTAACATTAATGGCTGCTTTCATAAACCTTTACAGAGAAATTGTTAAAAATTTACATTTATTTTTATTCAACACATTTCTAAAACCATTTCCATTGTATTGTTTGTTTGTTATTGACATTATTTTCATAATGTTGATGGGTATCGAATCTCTATTGTTAGCGAATTTGCATATTATATTACACAGTGACTGAACGGCTGTTTCAAAGGAAATGGCTACCAGGGTGTACAGAGGTCGGAATCGTGAAAAAAATTGTGATATCATATTTATATATATTTATAAACGGATCTCTTATTTCTATGTTTGAATTAAAATAGACCATGGAAATATGTGAAATATGTCTTTCATAACCTCGTCCTAAATTAAAATTATGATGAAAATTGTTTATTAGAACATCCTTCTCTCATACATTCTATTCATTATTCACTTTTATTCATCTCAGTAGCTCTTGAAATTTCAGTGGTCCCTCACAATTTCCCTCAAAAATAAATGCTTAATTTTATGAGTGAGTATGCGTGACTTTGCTTCGAGTGCATTTCTGTAAAAAAACATTAATTATTGTACCTGTCAGTCAAATAACTTTAGCCCAATATGAGTTAGATTCAACAGTTTTGCAATCTTTTTTGTTTTATTTCTATAATAAATGTTTAATGACATCAGTCAATTAACTTCAGCCTAATATGAGTTAAATTCAACAGTTTCGTGGCCTTTTTGTTTTATTTTTATATTAAATATTTAATGACATCATGTATACTTATTAAAAATTGTGTATTGCTGTCAAAAAATTTGAACCTTCCATGTGGTGTTATTAGTATCTATTTGTAATAGGTTATCTGAAACTATGGTACTCAGTAAAAATCTTGAAGGTTGGGTATGGAAGTGCGTCAGTTACTACGACGTATTTTCTATTGTTATTAGGACTCAGAGAGACTGATTTTTAATTATAATCAGAAATCTAATGTTTAGCAAATGGGTTTGAGTCATTGTCCACCGTAGGGAATATTATCTTGGATGTGATTAGTCATTCTAATTACCGTAATAAGATGCACTTTGAACCATATTTTTTTTCAATTTTATTAGTGATATGGTAAATGATGATTGTGGTTGCGATATAGAGTTGATATTAATCGCAATAGAATCAAGTTGTTCATATGTGCCAAGTCCTAGCCTTCATTATAATTGCTCAATAATGTCAATTCTTTTTATTTACAGAATGAAACACATATCGAAAGCAGACATAGTTTTTCATTGAAACGTAAGTAGAAACGTAGATTCTTCTTGTTTGTTTGTGAGTGGTGTTTGATTAATAACCCATAGACAGAGGTGGGAATCAAAATTTAGGATTTCCCTCACCAACAACAGAAAATTAAAAAAAAAGTTTGTCGCAGCGTAAGCTACATTAATTAACATGGCACGATTTACTTAAATCTAATACATAACATTCAAAATGCCAAATATATAGCTAGTTGTCAGCTGTATGGTTTGCATAATTTATTACATAACTTTTGAGACATCAAATGTAGTCAGCTGCGGTGTTTATTCCAATATTTTGATATTCCGAATACATTCTGAGAAAATTGGCTTCCCTTTTCAATTTCACCAACACCGATAAAGTTTATATAGGCCTAGTAATTGGAATTGCTGACTGAAATCTCCGATGTTTTTCAGATCGAAGATTTTTCCAAAGATCGAACAAGAGTCAGAAAAGCCAAGGCAGCAATGATTCTATTCACAGGGTAATTTTTTATTTTCTAAAAATTCATTTATGTGCTAATTTCCAAGTAATAAGCTCTTATACGCACTAAACCCATTATTCACTTTATATTATGACTGACGCTGTTTCAATGTACTTCCTCAATGAATTCATAGGAATTTATTACAATATCATTTCATCATCCAACCATCAGTCGCTTATGTAACCTACCTGCGTGAATTCAGTTCATAGAATTTACTGTTAAGCTTAATATTGAATAGTGCAAATTCAAAATTGAAAACTTTGCTCCAATTCCCCTGATGACTGGAATTCCTCGTTGCTGGATAAGCACTCAGTATTTTGGTATTCAAACAAGAGTTTCCTAATATCGTCGCAGCAATTTTGGGGGATTTGAGACTATCGCATTTTAGATGTTCTAACAGCCAAACCTAAGGCGTTCTAACTTTCTAACCTTATTACATATTGTATTCAGGATTCGTCAGATTCAGAATCTGGATTCCTAGAACTGGCAAGCACGACTCGTGGTGAGGATCTCTCCACAATGCAACAAGTTGGCGTCGATGCGTCTTTGATTTGTCGATTAGTTTTATGGGACGGTTCATCCACTGTCTTATATGCCGAAGCCGGGAAAGCAACAATTCGGGAAGCTCTCACAGCTTTGTGTGAAAGAAGAGGCGTCCCTCTTTCTGCCGTAGACATCTACTATCAGAATGAAGATAGAGCACTAGCTCTCGATCAAGATATCTCTGTGTTAGGTAAGAATTGAGATTGTAAAATGTATTGCCTCATTGATATTCTCTCCTGTAAATAAATAAATCATTGTTTTGTACCTATTAATATAAAAATAGGTCTCCGTTATGATATTGATTGTACTAGCCTAATGTGGCTGTCTTCATGTTGTCTTCTTGTTACAGTGGAAGAGTAAAACTTTCCATGGACGCGGGGCTAGTGGTTAAATTTTTAGACTTTACTGTAATGGCATCGCAGGTTAATATTTTGAGTTTTGAGTTATTTCACCCTAAGCCTGCCACATGCCAAACGAAAAAGATTCTGGTCTTTCTGTAGCACCATACATAGCAGTCACTGCTTATGCAGAGCATTGTTTGTAGCGAAAGGCATATAAACGAAATTTAAAAAAAAAAAAAGCATAATTTATTATGAAATAAAGCATCCCAACAAATTTTTGTCATATGTTTGAGAAGTGAATATGCAGCTAAAACGCTCTTTTTGCTAATTTTTGTCGAAAATTATAGATTTTCTACTTTGTTATTTTTCCATAAACAAGCATACCAAGTGATTCAATGTGTTTGCTATTGTTTAGGTTCCTGAAAATCGTGTAGTTCATCAGGGTTTGTAACAAAATATGGACTGTATCAATCAATATTTTATAATGTTAGGAAATGCGATATCACCTACCCTGTTCACTAGGTACACTCCCATATGGTACTCATTTCCAAATTCAATCTCAAGTTCCCAAAACAGTGAGCTTGCCTTATTTTCAACATAATTTATTTATAACTGTCGGCAGTATTGTTTATTTTTACTCTGACATTGAAAACCCGAAGTGGTTTTGGACTGTGCAATGACAGCGATTTTCTATTTCGATAGAAACACTTTGAAATACGAGGTTTGTTTTTGTAACCTCATCACTTCGATAACTATTGGATAATGACATTTTGACCGAGGGGCCTCGCTTGTTAGCAGTAATATCAATACCAAATTTTCAGTAGTTTTGTATTCAGCATTATTAATAAAGCATTCAATATGTTATTAACGAAGATATAAAGAAGAACTGTGTCAGATTCACCATTAAGACAAATTTAAAAAAAAAAATTGCATTTTCATTTCAAGTCACCACATCAGGAAATATGATGTATGGTATTGTTCTTGTATCAGAACGTCGATTTTACAGTCAGCACATTTCTGGTCAAATAGGTGTAGAAAAGAATCATAGAATAGATTTTCCTCTCAGCAGTCACATCATGATTTTAAATGAGGAAAATCAATTTGCAAATTTTCAGGGCTGGTTATATCCGTACATGAACTTTTCACATTCTCAATTAAACAATAATAGATTTATTGAGACAATAGGACAGATTCTTATCATATTCAAAATATGTTAGGGGAATTTGAATATGACTTCAATTTTTTAGTATATCTTACTATTTATTTTTTACAGCGGGTCAAGAAGTTCGTGTCGAGCGTAGAACATTGTTCAGATTGGATATGTTGCCGATAGGAAGATCTGTCGGCGTGAAAGCAAAACCTACAAAAGCGATAGAAGAAGTATTAAAACCTGTCGTATCAAAATATGGATTAGAATTTGATGATCTACAAACTACCCTTGTAAGTTTTATTATATCTTCTAACAAGAAATGAAAACCAAAACATCCAAATTTACATTATCTAGTCTTATATAGATTTATGTATAAAATAAGCTGGGAAATGCAAATTTTGTTTTTCATTTCATGAGCTTTTTGAATAAATGCTGCATTTAAAATTTTTTAATAATAAAATCATATCGGTTTTCAGAGTGGTGAATCTTCTTTACTAGACATTTCCCAATCGGTGAATATTCTCGATGGATTAAGAGTTTGTATTGATCATATCAACAGTAAATCAGGTATAATATTGAACATGTTCTAGTTTAAATCTTTATCTGTTATGTTATTGTATTCTCAAACTTGGAAAATTGCCAATATGGAATCTCATAGAAAAACTGAAAATTTCTCACTGTAGTACAGAGGGAAGTTCTGAAATTTTTTATTGCCAAGTTAGACTGTATTAACTAGCTATTAAGCTACGAAAAATTGCCATGTATCAAATGTATGTTACCAAAAATTTTTTTTTACATTACGCCTCTGTATGGGTACATACCATGCCTTTGAAACTTGTAGTTAGCTTGGTTTTTGATTGGAGAAACATGATTGTCTTAATAACTATTTATGTTAAAATTATGATTTGCACCAAATTTCATTGGTTAGATGTAGTCAAATAGCAGTTTTACTGCATAATCCATTATTGTAGAGAATGAGTTTTAAAGATAATTATGAAATACCAAACAGTTGTCCATTTATGTGGAATCATCCCTTGCTGTTATCTGAATTTCTTGGATTTTTGCTTTTCTAATCGAAATCCTTTTTTTTTTTAAATATTTTATATCTAAAATTTTGAATTGTCTGATTTTCAGGTTCAGCTATCGAAAGCAAAGACAAAACATCTAAAAAGATGCGAAATAATCAAAAGATGAAAAACAATATGCCTGCCATTAGTGATACAGAGGGTAAGGACCACTGTAATAGTTCAGAAGTTTTTAACAATTGACGAAATAATATTCATTACTCAGAATAACATAAGCAAGGAAGTTATGAGTATGTGTGGATAAATTGGTTCTTGATGATTTTATATAATTTCTTCATCAAATGATATTTTTTAAACTCTTAGTTGTGGTAAACATTTCCAAATTCTGAGCTGAGTTTATATAAAAAGGCGTTGAGTATCATTAAATCCAATTTCTTTTTGAACTAAATCGTTTCAAAACCATATAAAGAGTCCCTGTTATAATTTTGGTACCATTGTCTGTGAAATGACCATAACGGCACAGATATGTTATTTCATATTTCTTATTGTTATTTCAGAATTGATCAACATCATGTCAGCATCACATAACAGCAAGATGCACGATCAGCGCGGACTTCTGTCTGAAATGAATTTAGAGTTGCCAGATTTTCTGAAAACGCCTGTTCCTTCACCATCCAAGACGCCTATTCCAGTTTCTGTCAATTCAAACAATAACAACCATCAGAAAGAAGATTTGGATCTCGTACTTAACACAAACTCAAATGGTTACCCTCTCGATGTACCTAAGCCAAAAGGGGGCAAATTATCCCCCAATCCAGTCAGTACCGGTAATGCAAAAGCGAGAATACAAAAATTAAAATGTCTGGGAGATGGTAAGCAATCTATTATGGATACACCTGGGGATACAAGGCATATGAGACGCAAGACACCTAGTTTGGACACAGACGTTTCTAACGTAGAGGCTTATGAAACAGACTCGATATCCGCACTTGATGACGATCCGTATGTCATAACCAAATGGATGCAATCTGTATCTTATACACCTAAATATCCATATGCCCCCGATCTTGATACAACAGTAACGGACTCTACTACGTCTACTGATAACGGGGTTTTAGATTCTGTTTTTGAGTCCGAGTTACAATTGGAGCAAACGTCTTCATCGATGATTCATCAGTCCGTTATACACGATCATCGGTACACAAAAAGAAAAATTAAGGTTCGTGAGTGAACTCACATTGCGCTTTTGCACAATATAAATTGCACAAACGGTTTCACGAATGTAGAACACGTTGATTTGCAACCTCGAACTGCTGCACGTCACTACTTTGCACGAATTAATAAGAATATTCTTCAAAAATAGAAAACGGTGTTGTGAAGGTAGTCTTGCAACTCAGGATGGGTCTATGTAATGACACAAAAGTCTAACAGATATACTTCAAGCGCTTACGCTTTTGCATGCTATACATTGACCTCTAGAAGTGAACGCTTTAGAAACCTGTAACGATAATGATAATGCTTTTTGAAATTGTAAAACCATTATTCCCAAAATGTTTATACATAATCTATTTGCACCCAATCATAATATACTATGTAACAACCTTTTCAGTTTGTCTCTTTTATAACGGTAATCTAAAGATCTAATTATACTGATGTTTTAAAAGTAGACACCAACGATGGCTTAAATTTGTAGAATACAGCATGATTTAGTATCTAATCTTAGCATTCTGCATGTGATGGTTGTGTTGAAGTTCTGTAGTTGCTTTGCACATGCATGAAATAGAATTATAGACTATTCTGGTAGTTTTTGGTCATCAAATTCACTGATTCACACATATAAAAAAAATGGTAGAGCAATGTATCATATTCTTAGTGTCAAGTAAATAATTTGCAATAGGATTCCTGGAATATTTAATATAATGATCTTAATTTACATATAAGTTACTATTATGAATTGGCGGGCATGTAATTATTGTGGGCGAAGCTACCTAATACCAGTCATTTTTATACACAATGCAACTTTCGATATAGATTGAATAGAATTATTTTGGTTTCACATACATCAGTTTCTTGTGGATTCATGAACATTTTATTTCAGGGTATTGTTGTTTGAATTGCAAATCTGTCGGATTTCATCTCGAAAGATAAAGACAGACACTGCTCTAATGCTTTCATAATGGTGGTAGATTCGTATTCTATCTTGCTTCCATTTTCGCTACGACTCTATCTGTTAACATGGGATGTCAGATGAGATGATCAAAACAAACATGTTTTAATGCCCTTATAATGGTTGTAGATTTGTATACTTTCTTGTGCTTTCGTCTGCTCTCTCTCTCTGACCCTTTCTGTTATCTTATGTTCACATTTTTTGGAATTTTATTTTCAAAATTTGTTCAATTTCTAAAACTTTGTTTACTGTCCAGTAGTGCTTTTCCCATTAAATTTTTATTTTTCTTAAATTCACCAAACTTTACAATTCAAAAAAATGACATTCACCTAATTTTGATGCGAAATGGATTAGTTCAAATTATTAAAAGTAAAAGAAATTTCATGTGAAATCAAGAATAACTACACTATTCTTATGCGAATATCCTGTATAAATATATATACAGATATATATATTTTTCAAAGTTGAATGTAGTTTCTCCTTGGAGGTTGTTAAATTTTTTTTACAATCATTGTTAGTTTCCTCATTGCAACGTTTTTGCATATGATGAGAGAAAAGGGTGTATGACTAGTATCCTTTAAATCCTGGTGATATCATCCCCTTTTTTTCTATTGCTACTACTATATTTCCTGCTATTGCATTTCTTTATATTTTTATATTGCATTTTTTTTCTTGGATGATAATTTTTTTTAATAATATTAACAATGTGCATTGATCAAGTTTGTTGCTACTTTTCTTATTAATAAATGCAGTCATAGTCCTTGTTTCCTTTCGAACAAATTTTAACTATTAATCATGTTCAAAAAGTTAGCTTATGTCTATCAAGATTTTTTCTTATAAATACATGACAATAAATTTATAGACTTTGTGGAAAAAAGGTTTTTGGCAATAATTAATGTTTTAAATAAAATCATTGGTTTTAAACATTTTGTTCAGTCCGTTTTTGTTTTCGCTGTAGGAAATTGTTATTTTATGAATGTTGTTACTGATTTAGGCATGACTAAATATTCCCTAAATATTCTATCATGACTCATTTTTAATCAGGATAATTATGTTTTTTTTTTTTATGGAAAACAAATTAATAGGCATTTGTTTTTTGTTGACCAATTAGTATGTGCTGTACTTGATATGACCCAAGTTTTCTCTGAATGTATATCTCTACAATACACAATGTCTTACACACCATACACAAATAAAGCAAGATACAGACATTAGTTCGATAAATAAACAATCACGATATTCATTATAACATTATTCTGTTTTATATATGCTTTCAGTACTTTTTTATAAACTATCCTTGGCCATATATATTTCTTGCATAGATTTTATTGAGAAGCTATTATGTGTGTGTATATATATATAAATGTTAAAGTTCCTCGCTTTGACTTCAATGTGTATAGGCTTATGTCTGTCAAAGCATGTGTTGTCCCATTTTATAAATATGAAGAGTAATGCACCGATCGGGCACCCCTGTGGTAGTCTATCCAACGAAAACCGCTTTGGGTTTTCAATGTACTTTGCTGTTATCTGCTGGTCATACTTTTTACGTCAAGTTGAAACTTGTCAATTTTTTTTTTTCCTTGAGCGATAATGAAGCTTTCGGTTTGGGTAAAACCCAATTAAAGATTACGTTTTCTACTTTGAATTTACTACATTGTGGATTGCACTTTTTGTGGAAGATTTCTTAGCTGCTTTGATGCTCTGTCCTATTGTTTTGTTTTTTTATTTTTACTTTCTATTAAAAGTAATCAACTTCAAATGATTTTTGTTTTGTAAATTTTGACTTTGAAAAAGCTGGTTGGTTATCCGTTCGTAAGATCTCCAAATAACACATCCGAAGATTGTGAAAAGCAGTTTTGACTACTAATTAGTTGAACTGTCAATCAGGATGTGTGTTCGCAGAGGCTCAGGATAGCATGGGATTTTTATTGTTCGTAAGACCAGCCTTCGAATAACACATCCGTGGATTGTGAAAAGCAGTTTTGACAATTATTTAGTTGAACTGTCGAATCAGGATGAGGTATATTCGCAGAGGCTTAGGATAGCACGGGATTTTATATTAATCCCGGGGCAGAGAAGACTGTACAATCATATGGTGTATCACGCCCCCTCATTTGGTTACCAGTCCATGTCGGGCATGGGGTTAGTCAGATATTTGTTTCAGATGGACTTGGTGGTAGATGTCCTGTGCTACTGTGAACCGCGTTGAGTAATTCTACCACACTTAATTGTCGCCGGTATTCGAATCCGTCAAGGCTATTCCTAAGGCTTAGCACGGTGCGCCCAACTCCGCCGCGCCTGTTCGTAGTGTTGGTTTTATGAGGCAACCTAGACTATTTATCAGTGGCGGCGCGTCAATAGGCGGTATAATAATCGGTATAATAAAAAATATTCGAAAAATACCTCAATATCGGTTGCACAGACTGTCTACACTAGCCATATTCTCTCGACATGGTTCATTTTTCGCTCGCAAAGCCTTCGCCGAACGTCGACGGGGCGACGCCGATTTTGCCCCGGTTGCTCATTGTATATCGTATTCTCTCTTTTATCTTCCACTCGCCGCGTCTGTCTCGTTTGTTTTCTGATTCTTTTACTAAATAATCGGGGATATCCCCGAAATTATGACGACACAATGTCGACGTTTTTTACAACAACGTGTTGACATATTCACGCATTCCTTCTCGTTCGTTGGTTGCTTGAAGAGTTGATAGTTTCCTCGCCTTCGTTTTTGTCGCTTGTTTCGCTATTTGAATCAGTTAGAGACTTTCAGTCCATTTGCTTTCGATTTTCCACATTCCTTTTGAGCTCCTCACTTCTTTCCGGCTTCGCATTTCTTAGCCTTAGACCTCATAATGAATAAGGTTGATGCACTACTTCGCACTCCGTTTTCGCAGCTGCCGCGGGAACAAAAATTAGAGGTACAACGTCTTGGGCCTTATCAACCAAAAAATTGTTCACTGGAACAATCCCATGACGGAGGAAAGCGTCGGCGTACATTCTGCGCAGAAACTTGGTATAAAAAACACGAATGGTTGTGTTACAGCGAGGACAAAAATGCACTTTTTTGTTTTTATTGCCTACTTTTTGCTACCGCCCGTGACTCACGTTGGTGTAAATTTGGTTTTAGAGATCTTAAACATCTTTCCGAGCGTGCCAGGGATCATTAATCTTCTATGGAGCATCTGGACAATGCAGTAAAATACCGAACATTCGGAAATGTTAATATTGCAGCACAGTTGGATGAAGGACGCGCGATTTCTATTCGTCGGCACAACCAAAACGTCGAGAAAAACCGCCATGTTCTCGGTCGATTGATAGATGTTTTGAAGTTCATTGGTTGTCACGAGCTGTCCCTCCGTGGGCACGATGAACGGGCTGGCTCTTCTAATAGAGGGGTATTTTTGGATATGGTGGAATACACCGCATCCCTAGATACAGTATTGAGAGATCATCTTGATGCCGCAACTGTTTCGAAAGGGACATCTAAGGATATCCAAAATGATTTGCTCGACTCAATGTATAAAATTTATTTACAACATTTGGCTCTGGAAATTGAGAATTGCAAGTTCCTTTCGATTCAGTCTGACGAGACAACTGACATCACGTGCGTTTCCCAACTGGCTGTGATTTTTCGGTTTGTGAAAGATGGTAAACCTACCGAGAGATTTCACAGTTTTGTACCAATCGTTGATCGCACGGCTTGCGGGATATCGGCTGTACTGAAAGAAGTGTTACAGCCTTACAACGCGAAGTCAAAATTGATAGCTCAATCTTATGACGGCGCGGCAGTCATGAGTGGGTCGAAACATGGTGTTCAAGTTTATATAAAAGAAGATTTTCCTCATGCGCATTTTTTACGTTGTTATGCACACCAATTTAACCTCGTTATTAAAAATATGTGTCTTGATACCCCTCTCGTCCGTATATTTTTTGCAAATGTTTCGGGGTTTTCTTCATTTTTTTCCGTTTCGCCGAAGCGCTCTGACCTCCTTCGCCAGATATGTAGCCGCCGTCTCCCAGCTTGTGCACCAACACGTTGGAACTTCCAATCACGCGTGATGCAGGTCGTGTCCGAAATTAGGTCTGAGCTCATTGAGTGTTCTGTGAGGGAGGCGGCAGGTCTAAAGCGTCTGCTAGAAGATGGTGAGTTTTCATTTTTTCTCGCTTTTTTCTCCACAATATTCTATCACGTGGATGTATTATACGGCGCATTGCAGTCAAGGCTAATGGATGGAGCGTCTGTGCAGTCGTGTATTTCAGACTTCTGCGATGCTGTATCTCGTATCCGGGAAACAATAAAATACGACGACACATGGAGTGCTTCTTTACAAACAACGCAGCGTTTGGTTTTGTCTGCAAAGGAATGCTGTGACATTCTGGTGAATCAAATAGGCGATCGTCTGCGCACTGAACACCTTGCCGCGTTCTCTTTGATGAACCCCAAAAATTTTTCAAAATTTGCACGTCAATTTCCCATCCATTTGTTGGCTACTGTCTCCAAATTTTACTCCATGATAAACGTGGGTAAATTGGAAAATGAATTGCGATGTATATACACCAATCAAACTTTTTTGAACATCACATCAACTTGCGCGCTCTATGGGTTCCTCATAGATAACACTCTAGTAACTACCTTTGCGGCGTCTGCAAAATTTCTGGACATCATTTTGACGACGCCTATTTCTTCCGCCGACGCAGAGCGAACATTCAGCACGCTGAAGCGTATTAAAACGTATCTCAGAAACACAATGAAGCAAGATAGATTAAATTCCTTGCCTGTTTTATCCATTCACAGAGACGTTATTTCTGGGATGCATGACTTTAATCAGCGCGTTATTGAGCATTTTGCTTCCAAGAAACCGCGGCGTGTTGCATATATGTTCAAGCAGTAGAAGTCTAGCAGCATATTTATCTATGAGTGAGCGACGCATGTCCTTATCTTTGCATTAACTTTCCTTTCTTCATAGTAACATTTTAACCTTATTTTAGGTTTTGTCTGCTTTCCAGAAGTTTCTGTTAATATGTCATTGTATTTATCTGGGTAAATATTGCCTTTCCTTTTGAAAGAGGTTTCAAAATAAACTATGTCTATATTTATTAATCCCTTGACTTGGACCGGTTTTAAAGACACTTTCTTATTGTTAAAAATTGTCGCTTTTGCCGATTGGTTGTTACCGATGGAATGGTTTTTATACTCATAAAATGATGGGAGAACTTACCGCGCTCATCCTGTCCCCGTAGATGGGGGTGACTTGGTCCCGCAGTAGCTTGCCCCGGTTGTCGAAATGACCACGCTCCGCTACTGGTATTTATGTATATATATGGCTATTAAGCACCCATCGGTTTTATTCTTGACATAAAATAGTTGTGTTCTGGTAAGCATGTGTACGATATATGAGGTTATCTTCGTTCGTTTTTGAGCTTGAACTTTTCGATACAAACGAAATGGCTAATAATTTAGTAAACGCTCGAGGGCGACATAGAAACATTTATAAAACACGTCTCTGCTTCATATTGAATACCTGACTTAGGATTAATCCTTTATAATTAGTTAACTAACCTCCAACTATATCCGTATCGTGAATAAATTCAAAGAGAGCAGTGCTCAAATGTATGGACAAGAAAGTTGCGAATTCGTACCGGTTCCGTATGGCCTGAGAACACCAAATTGGCGCGAATGCAATAAGGAAGTGTCTTCGTTTATTTGAAATGAAACAGCAAAATTAGGTAAAATACGACACTGGAGGAAATATGATCAACAGCCTTCTTCTGTCCAAAAGTATATACTGAAAATTTCAAATCGACTGGGCCAATATTTGTGGAGAAAACGGTTTTCTCAACAGCAACTGGAAAATCTCTGACAAAAACAATATTAATTTAACAAAGTGATCATTATGTACTCTCCGTTTTTAATTTTAAGATTGCTTCCATCGATTAACTCTGTTGATCAAAATAACAGCTAGAGCGCTAGACTTTCTCTGTCACATTTTCGCTCATTGGGATAATTTGCAATAACATGATTTCGAAATGGAGAAGGATCGAAGATTTGGATTGAGAAAATAAGCTTACTTATCACTTGAAATCTTAATTCAAACATTTGAAATATGAAACTAAATTTATACATAACACATGATAATTTGCATTTTCGACAAACAGGTAACATGAACTCGTATTTTTTTTAAACTGGAAGATTTTGAACATAATAAAGATAAAAGTCTTCCATCTTAAAGTAAAAAAAGTTTCAAATTCATTAGTTACGAAGAAAAGCGATTTCCTGGCAACAACAAGAAAGGCCACGTCAGCAATAATTTATAAAGATGCACTTTCTATATTTCTACATTTCTATATATATATATACACTTCGTGTAAAATATTAAAGTTTTCTTATGATTCTGTTATGAAGAGGGGTCAAAGATTTGGATTGAGAACATGAGCTTAATGATAATTTGAATCATATTCATTTTTGGAAATTGAAAATATTAATATAAATTTATACATAACATATAGGACCAAAGCTTTTTCAAATAATAGAAACGATTATTGAAAAATAAACTATCAGTAACAATAATTACAATTCAGCGACATGACGAAGAAATAAGTAGCCTATAGATTATGACATTATACTGATTTGTATTTCCATATTTTGGCAAACTAGTAACATGCCCTCAGCTTTTAATTGACTTGGGTAGTGCAAAGACAAAACTTTGAGAACAGTCATATCATATGATATAAACGATATATATATGTTTTTGTTCCCTTGTA